GTGCGTGCCCAATATCCCAAGAGGAGAATGGAGGAGAAGGGATTATAGCGTGGCAATCCCCTGGGTGGAGTGGGGGAGTGATTTCTCGCTTTCTGTCTTTCTATCTCTCTCTGTCTTTCTGGCGAGCACATGTGCCCAATAAGAAAAAAACTCTCAAAAAAAGGAAAAAAAATAGAGCTTTGGAACTCTGAACTGGTAAATATTGCTGATGTGTGAAAGAGCATGATGCATACTATCCTGAATGGTCCCAGAATTGGATGTTACGTGTACAAACAGGACCTAGAAGGACACACCCCACTGTAAGCTGTTTGTGACTGCAGATGACTTTGGTCTTTGCTTCTTGTGTTTTTCCATTTCCTATAATGCATATATTAACTTTGAAAAGATAAAGGTTATTTTTAAAACCTGATAAAAAAGACAGTAAGCTGTTGGTGAGGGTACAGAAAAATTGGAACCTTCCTATTGCTGGTGAAAATACAAAAGCATATAGAAACTCTGGAAAAGAGTCTAACGAGTTCTTAAAATATTAAATATAAATTTACCACATAATCCAGTGGTCTACTCCTAGGAATCTAGGAAAATGAAAATATATGTTCACATGAAGACTCGCATGTGAATGTTCATGGCAGCATTATTCATAACAGGCAAACATGGAAACAACCCACATGACTATCAAGTCATAAACAAATTGTAGTACATCTTCACAGTGGAATACTATTTAGCAGTAAAAAAGAAACAAAATACTGATACAGCCCACAGTATGAACTTGGAAAACATTATACAAAGTCAAAGACACCAAAAGGAAGAGCCAATACTGTATAATGCTATTTACTTAAAATACCCAGGAAAGGCAGCAAAATAGCTTTCTAACAACCACTGCTTATTGAGTACCAATAGATCCCAGCAGTTTATATAATTTTTTCTTTTTTGGAGAGGTTTTTGCTACAGGGTGCGTGCACTTGCCAGAAAGACAGAGACAGAGAGATAGAAAGTGAGAAATCACCCCCTGGGGGGATGGTCATGGCGCAATCCCTTCTCCTCCATTCTCCTCTCGGGATCTTGGGCATGCACACACACATGCCCGGCGTGAGTTTAAGCCGCCGGGTCCGGGGCTCAAACTGCAGTTGACTACATGGGAGTAGAGCGACATAGCCATTACGCTAACTGCTGGTCCCTAAAATTTCATTTCTGATACCTTCCAGAAAGAACTACAGGCAGTCCTCACTTAAGGATGACCAAGTTCTGTTCCTTGGACTAAGTCATTAAGAGAATTGGTCAATAAGCAAGGAGTTTAAAGGCAGGTGTCCTGTGGTGTGTCACGGTGCCATAGGGAACGTATTTTTCAATACACATTACACGAGATCACACTAGAATAATGTAATTCTATCCATACAAAAAGCATACAGTAGATGAGTGGCAGAAAGCAAGAAAACACACTGCAGCACAGTGTTATAAATCAGGTGCAATCATTTTTATTCTGAATAATGGAAAGGTCTAAACGAAAATCCAACTTAATAACTTTGTTTTGATTTACATCTCTTACGTATTATAAAACATAATAAGTACGATCAGCAAGAATTATAAAAATGATGTACCAAAAGTCAAAGTTCATTCATAAAGAAGGACATTCAAATTAATATTTTAGTCACCATCCTTCAAAGTGTGGTAGTGTCCTGAGGTCATCCTTGTCATGACTAGAGTTATCATTCGGAGGTGTGGATGGCGGGGGTAAGGAAGATGACAGTGACAAAGTAGAAGTACTTCTAGGGGGAGGGGTTGTGGCTGTACTTTCTGAGAAGAATTTTGTTTTTATGGTCTGTTCTGTAAGATTCTTTTATTATTCATAAATTTCATGATAGCATCATGCAAGTTCATTCATTGACCAGTCTACTTTCATGAACAATTCATTATTCGAATTCCTGTCTTCTGGTTCTAACACAGCCACATTCACCTTTAAGAACCCATCAGTGGAGACCAGCAGTTGGCATCATGGCTATGTCACTGGACTCCCATGTAGTCGACCACAGTTCGAGTCCCGGACCCAGTGGCTTAAACTCACTCTGGGCACATATGTGTGTGTGCCCAAGATCCCAAGAGGAGAATAGAGGAGAAGGGATTGTGGCATGGCCATCCCCCCTGGGGGGGTGATTTCTTGCTTTCTGTCTCTCTGGTGAGCACAACACCCTATAGCAAAAACTTCTCCAAAAAAAAAAAAATAATAAATAAATAAAAGAAAGAAGCCACCAGTTAATACCTTTACAGTGGACTGCCCTTGTACTTCTTCCACTCTCTCCTCTTCTTTCTCTTCTTCTTCTAAGTGCTCTGTGCTCCCAACTCTGGAGAATGTTTATTGAGTTGCTCTACCTCGACATTTCCTCCCAACGCCAATGGGACCCTGTCCTTAAAAGCCTTGAAACTGGGCATTGTTTCAGCTTCTTGTCTGTGTAGGACTTTTCTCAGATTTTTTTTTTCCCAAAGAAAGCCCAGTTTCATTTACATGAAGATCTGTTAGGGACAGTAGCTGCCTTTCTCGATAATCTTATTGAAGGGGTGAACACATTTCCCCTGCTTCGACAGTGGCCCTTGCTGCCTCACCACTGGTACTCCAGCACTGTCGGCCGGATCTGACGGAGCCGCTGGAAGCATCTGTAGCTTGCCACTCACGTTCCCATTGATTCCTCCCCTTTGTGTGTCTTCAACGTTTTGAAGATAGTGAGTGCCTTGGTTTGACTTTGTGAAAGGCTCACTGACATTCTTTTTCGTATCTGGTTGTCAAACCGAATTGCCAGTAATTTTTCCATTTCGTGGATGAGGCCTTTCTGATGCCTAATTATTAGGGTTTAAATCCTACTGATGATTTTTCTGCCTCTTTAACTCTATCTTTCAAGAGAGTAAAAAATAGTTGAATGTGCCAACTCCAAATCATGTGCTATCTCTTTAACCTTTTTACCAGCTTCCTACTCATTTATGATCTTCGCTTTCATCTCAAGATCAATAGCCTTCCTTCAAATTTTAGTGCCTCTTCCAGGCAAAGTCATGGCCTTCCTTTTTACCGACATCTTGCGCACTAATGTACAAGTTTATGGACAAAATACACAGTCTCGTGTGACTGAACGCTTTGTGTAATGAATACTAATCAACTGCGGAAATGTGATAAAGACTGAGACTCGAGATCAGCAGTTAGCGTAATGGCTATTCGCTGGACTCCCATATAGCTGCCTTCGAGTCCCGGACCTGGTGGCTTAAGCTCATGCCAGGCGTGTGTGTGTACGCACGTGCCCAAAATCCCAAGAGGAGAATGGAGGAGAAGGGATTGTGGCATGGCCATCCCGCCCTGGGGGGTGATTTCTCGTTTGCTGTCTCTCTGTCTCTTTCTGTCTTTCTGGCAAGTGCACATGCCCTATAGAAAAAAACCTCTCCAAAAAAGCCTGAGACTCACACAGATTAAGGGGGTTCCCAGCACTGGAGAACTGGTTGTAAGTCCAAGTGGTCACTAAACAGGTAGGTCATTATGTGAGGGCATGTCTGCACTAGGAGTAAACCTTTAAAGTTCCAGATAGTTTGCATAGCTTTCACAAACGCTGTCTCATCCAATATCCACAGCCATTTGGTATCTTTACTAATTGTTCCAATAATATTCAGTAACACAGTTCCTCTAAAGCATTCATAAATACTATATGTTTATTGCTATAAGTGAACACTACCTAAAAATGAGAGACAAAAATATCTTAAAGACTTGAAGGCTAATTTAAACGAACACAAAGGGGTATGTTAGAGAGTTAACTCTCCAGAAAAAAGTCTAGGACGACTCAAGAGGAAACACTAGGACAAAGGGTAACTCTCTGACTCTTCTGCAGTCCCTATCACCTTTATTTTATTTCATTTTATATTATTTTAAATGTTTGCCCTAGGACAAGTGCATTTGCCAGAGACAGAAGGAAAGTGAGAAATCACTCCTTACTGCGGATGGTCACATCACAATCCCTTCTCCTCCATTCTCTTCTTGGGATTTTGGACACACAAGCACCCATGCCTGGTATTTACTTCAAGTCATCAGTCCTTGACTTGTTCGATAGAGTCGGCTCTGTGAGATCTAGTGCCTGCTGGTCCTAGTCTTTACCTTTTAGGAAGCTTGAGGCCTTCCCAGTCAAGACAAAGGGATGACTGTAAATCATTTGACTCTCAAGAAGAATATATTAAAAGCTCCAGAGTTCTTCAACTATAGAAGATGAAAGGAGGATTTAATAACTGACTCTATAAAATTCTACTATATACTTGGGATACAGCAGGACAGTAGCAGGGTGTTCCACCTGAATAAAATAAACTTAAACTAGCTACTGATAAAATTACTACATAAACATCACAGAAATTTTTCTGACAAAGGAAGTTCAGGTGAATACTTAAGGACCCTTTTCAAAAGGAATTTCTGTCAACAGAATAATTTTTAGTAAAGGAAATTATTTAGGTTTACCAAGAATGCCCATTAGACATCAGAACTTTTATTTCAGTTCTTGAGAATTATATACAGTAACTGTATATAACTAAACTTTCCTAATCTGGTAGCATCAACTATCAGTAAACTAATGCATTTCTATTTACCTTAAATCTAAAGAAGCTGATTTCTTATTGAATTAAGAGGTTGATAATGGTTGGGCCATTGGAATTAATAATTCCTATGGTGAATGGCAGCAGGTAAATTTAGATCCAAAGTGGCAATACAGGAGGCCAGCATCGTGGCATGGTGGTTAAGGTGCTGGATTCCCACATGGCCAACCATGGTTCAAGTCCTAGACCTGGTGGCTTGAAAATCACAATGGGCATCTGTGTGTGTGTGCCCAGAATCCTGAGAGGAGATGGAGGGGAAGGGATTGTGGCATGGCCACTCCCCCTGGGGAGTGATTTCTCACTTCTTTTCCTCCCTCTGTGTCTCTCTGGTGCCCTATGGTAAACCCCCCCCCCCAAAAAAAAAGAAGAAGGTCAATGCAGTAGAGCAATATCCCTGTTTAGTGAGTCCGTTACTCTGTTCTAGATTAAAATATGCTAATTTATGCAACTGATTTATGCACCAAGGACACAGTACATTTATACACGATAAATTAAACTTAAGCTGCCTCTGAAGCAATAAGCCACGAGTTAAAATTTAAAAATATAAATAACAGTCATTGTTTCTACTTTTGCTATAAATCTGACAAAGTTTTAAAGAGTTGATGAAATCTTGGATACGAACCAGGAAAACCTGGGGGCAGAAATTGAGGAATAAGTTCATAAAATATCCTAAAGCCTTTGCTGTTTCAATACTTTGAGAGGAACAGTTAAGTAATGTTTAATTAGAGAACATTACCAGTGCAGCAGACGGTAGATTGGACGGTTGTCGGTGAGGGCTTCCTGCTTGCTCGGTTACCCCGTTAAGATCTGGAGACTGTGGGGTAGCTGGCTGGGTGCTGCTTGCAGGTTGCTCAGATGCCTCTGCTTTACGGCTTTTATTTGAGCCTGAGCCGTCCAACCGGCTACTTCTCTCCATGGCAATCAGGTCACGGATTTTTTGCAGTTGTTCCACTGAAGCTTTTTTAGGAAAGATAAGATGTGTTTCTCCCTGGAATTTAGAAAATTAGAAAAAAAATTCGGTTTTTGCTTTGTACTAATGGTCATTCTTATGTATAATGAAGCTGATACTTAGAATGCATCCTATTTTAGCAATCATACTATTTTCTTACCCTTATGGCACTTGTTTTAACACAAAGGTATATGACATCTAGACGTCGAGTAGATAATGATTAAAACTGTCTCCTTGCTGGCATATAACACTTAGCCTCCTTAATGTGGTTCAAAGAACCTTTAGAAGAATATTCTCACTTTGGTTAAAGAAGCTGGACCCACATGGCCAACTATAGTTGGAATTCTGCCCTGATGGTCTGAAAAACAATGCACCAGGCACAAGTGCATGCATGGCCAACATCCTGATGGGGCAGAGAAACAGAGGAAAAAGAATTGGCATGACCATGCCCCCTTACGGGGTACTTTCTCTGTCTCTCTTTAGCTAGCAAGTACACATGTCTTCAGGCAATTAAAAAAAGAGCAAGGAAAATGTTTTGCATTTCAGAAATAAGTCAGAAAGCCTTCTAAGAGTTGCACAAATGCGCATGCCTATCTTTTCTATAGTAATGAATGACAATACTATTGTCTATGAAATTCCCAGTAATATAATAATAGTAGAGATATAGCCACAGTAGAAGATCGGGGGGGTCATATAAAACCATTAGGAGGTATACGACAACTTTGAAATTTTCTAAATCTAAGTCTTTAAAAGCTAGCTACATGCTTACAAGTCTATTTATGACAGCCACCAATTTTTCAAAGAAAACAGAAAGTATACCCTGATAGCTAATTTAAAACAATGATGTGTGTGTGTGTGTGTGTGTGTGTTTGCCTTAGGGCACATGCACTCCTGGAAAGACAGAGACAGAGAGTGGGAAAGAGAAATCATGCCCAGGGTGATTGGCCACACCGCAATCTTACCTCCTCCATTCTCTTCCCACGATCTTGGGCACGCATGCACAAGTGCCCGGCCTGAGTTTCACAGAAAGGCAGTCCAATTAAAACATGACAAACAATAATAATCAGGTCTTTAAGAGGCAATTCATTTAATGAATACCCACAGTAAGACCAGAGTGCTTACTAAATAGCCCCACAACAAACCCTTTAATGTAAAATAGTCAGCAAAATACAAAACAAGACAAAAGGGAAAATGAAAACACATTCAATCAAGTTCCAAGATGTTTAGAAACAAATGTTAAAAAAGTAATTCCACAAACTGTAAATGAGATAAAATATTGTTACAACATGCAATAAACAGATTTGCAGATTGTAAGTATTTAAGTTAAAGTCCAATACAAAATGGCCTTATTTCTCTGATGATAACAGACTTACAGGACTGAACTGACCAAGACATTACTTAATAATTGACATGAAAAATCAACTCCATAGAAATTCCTTCCTAAAAGCTGGAAGAAGCTAGCAAGCTCCATGTGCTATCCATAAAAGGTATAAAAAAAAGAATACTGAATAGTGCCATTTTTGTGATTCTGTTTTCTAAGCACTGTGCTAAGCATTTTACATAATTATCTCAAGTAATTCTCACAACCACCCTAAAAGGTGGTTATGAGGTTTATCCCTAAAATACAAAGACTCAGGGACCAGCAGTTGGTGTAATGGCTATGTTGTTGGATTCCCACATAGCCGACTGCGGTTCGAGTCTCCAGTGGCTTAAACTCATGCTGGGCGCGTATGCATGTGCGCCCAAGATCCCAAGAGGAGAATGGAGGATAAGGAACTGCGGCATGGCCAGCCCCCCGGGGGGTAATTTCTCATTTTCTGTTTCTCTCTTTCTGACGAGCGCACGTGCCCTATAGTGAAAACCTCTCCAAAAAAAAAAAAAAATTAAGAGAGAAATTAAATAACTTGTTTGACTGGCAGAGCAGGGATTAATCATTATGCTATAATCAATTCCACCTCGAACAGAAGAGAGTCCAAAACTCACAAGCTTGCGCTTTTTTTGGGATGAGAAGGCCAAGAACACCTCTACAATTGTGACGATTACACACTGGGTGACTGGCACGACTGGAACACGGTTACTTTTCAATCACTGGGAAGGAACTGCCTGTTATCTATGATGGGGCCGAGGAACAGAGAGGTTTTAAAACCAAACAGGAAACCAGATGTGAAGGCATGTGCTTGGAATCCAGGTGCCAGAGAGGCTCAGGCAGGAGAACTATCAATTTATCAACCTGAGTAGTACAGCAAGCCCTCCTCTCTAAAGGAAAAAGAAACAATAATAATGGAAGTATCTGATCTCATGTTTCTAGTGGAGCAATACTGAGGAAGGCAGGTGACGCCATAGAGGCAGAAGAAAACACGGCAAGACAGGGATCTGGAGGGGAGGTCTCCATGCGCATCTGAGCCAGGCCCAGTAAGACGGAGATGCTGCTCACGCCTTGCTCCCATCCGTCTCTTCGGGACCAGTCGGAAAAGAACACACAATTAGGAGCAAAGCTTCTAGACCCAAAGTTGAATCGACAGCACTGTATTTTCAAAGGACAAGATTATACACCTAGGGCACTAGACTCAACAACGTTTTAAAAAATCGCCGAGACCTTTACTATTTCAAAGCTGCTTCTCTAGGTATTTTTATTTAGACAATTCTCTTTGCAGGTGTTTGGCAAACTGACACCTGACCACTGCAGGCTGGTGATATCTTCTAGTCATTGAAATAAACCAAGTCTGTCCTCACAAATTTCCCACACTCCATCCTGAGTGAGGAAGGGGGGGGAGTGGGCATGGCTCCTGGTTGAGATTCCCACACTCCATCCTGAGTGAGGAAGGGGGAGTGGGCATGGCTCCTAGTTGAGGACCATTATACTCAGCTAACCTGTAGGGTTCCAGATCTATTTAGATTCCAGTCTTTCTCAACCTCATTCTGAAAATTTTCATTAAAAAAAAAAATACCAATGTAGCTTTAGAGACAAGTGGACCTAAAAACATCGATGATTTTAATACACAGCTGAAAATTTCAAGGAAGGTCTTTGGTTTGTATTTCACTTCATCTTACAACCCCACCAAATTTATTTTTGGCGGTACAGTTCCGTTTCACTTCCACTATTTCCAACTGCAACTTAGCCACACTGATAACAATTTTATTTCAGACAGGTCCTGAGGTGTGAAGTCCAAAGCCAGCCAGAAACTGCAGTGTCACTCAACATATGACCTGTGTTCATGCCATATCCCAGCCTTCCCTAAACCGTGTTTTCCCTTGAGTAACAAGATGCATGCGTGTGGGTAAGATGATGCTCTCCCTGCAAGAACTAGCCTGAACCAGTGGGATCCAAGATGGTTAGCACAACGACTTCGGAAAGACCCCAAACCTCATCATAATGTCATTCACATGCTACGTGACATATCCACCCACACCATGACAGCTTACGATCACAATTTCCAGTAGAGAAACTACTAGAAATATCTTTACAAGGAGAAAAAGCAAGAGGCTTTTGGAATTCCAAGAAATCCCCACCTTTTCCAGAAGAAGCTTTGAAAAGCCTTCCCTTCTATTACCCTATCCTGTCCCCTTCATTACTCTATTTGCTGTCTTACACTCCCCACCTCAGAAGAGCGAGAAGTTGATTGGCCAGCTCAGCACCTTTCTCTATTCCTGGGCCTCTGAATAAAGCCTGTGTCCTAACGCTCAGTTTCAGTTTTGTAAGTTGGCTCTGCTATACCAAACAGAGAAAGATCACATCCTTGGGAAAAAAAACTGGTAACATAAGTATAATGCAGCCTTATCAAAACACATTAATCTTTCAGAACCTGTGATTCCATTTGCATCAAATACTATTGCAAGTCCTAGAGAGGCTTGTTATTGGCACCAAGTAAGCCGCTGGGTCTGAGAATCAAACTGCACAGTCGGTTATGTTGAGATCCAGTAACCTTAACCATCATGCAAACAGTATTATTTTATTTTTTTTAAACCAAGAATATTTTGGGGTTGGCCTCATAATGCAGTGGTTAAGCACTGTGCACATGGACCCAGATCCTACATAGCGGAACATGGTTCAAATCCTAGCCCCAGTGGCTTGAATAACACGCAGGGCATGTGTGTGTGTGTGTGTGTGTGTGTGTGTGTGTGTGTGTGTGTGCATCCTCCAAATCCTGATGGGATGCAGAAATGGAGGACAAAGGATTATGACACAATCATGCCCCATGAGGGGATGCTTTGGGGTATGGTCATGCTGCAATCCCTTCTCTTCCATCCCTTCCCCCTTTTGGGATTTTGGGCATACAAGAACAAGCACCCAGCGTGTTTCTCAAGCCACTGGGTTCGGGGCTTGAACTGCACAGTTGACCATGCGGGATCCTGTCACTGTCACCACTGGCCCTTTTTCTGATTTTTTAAATGTCTAATAGGTGAAGAGATACAGATTACTGAAAGGATCAATGAATAAAACGATGGTATTCAACACCATGTTGATTGCTTTGTACATGGAGGGGAAGAAAAAACTGTACTTACTTACCTCTTCAAAGCCCATTTCAAACAAACACTCAACAGCTCCTCTGACAGGCAAGAGTCTAGTAGAAAAAGCTGTGTTTCCAATCCGGATAGATCTGTATTTTTCATCATTAGGGTTTCTTAAAAAAAAAAAATAGTTTGATTACACATGGCAATTTATGTTTTTCATAGTGTTTTTGCCTTTTTTCCACGTTTTATACCAACTGCACTCTCATGTGGTCGGATAGATGCCAACTTTAGAGAAAGCAGCAGTCTGGAAAGGCAGTCCAATTTTGTGATTCTTACCTCATTATGCGCTTAGTTCAACCTCACTGTTTAATCTCACAGCTGATAATATTTATGCTGCCGAAGGAATCCGTGTGGCATTTTGATTCTCTGCAGTTAAGCCTAGATACCTTTGTGAGATTTCTAGATAATTAACAGCAAAAATCTGCATATGCTCCAGATAGGAGGCAGTAGATTTTGTCTGTTTTGTTCTCATTTATCTATGTACCTGGCACACAGATAGAAGTTAGTAAATATTTATAAAATGAATGAGTAAAAGAAACCAAAAAGCTGTACAAAAATGGATAATTCCTCCAACACTAGACTCTTGATAAACATGAACTTAGGTCTACCTTTACAGTCACCTGATTTTCTTCCTTCCCCAGATGAATGACTGTTTTTACTATAAGTTGTTTTAGTTAAGATCATTTTTTGGAGCGCCTGATGGTGACAGAGTGGTAAAACACTGTTGTAGGAGGCGATCCCACACAGGGAGGTTTCCCATTCACGTCCAGAGACCTTCCTGAGTCCACAGAGTACATGCCTGCCCATGACCCAGGCCTGGCTGACGGCTGGGGGTGAACAGAAGCTCAAAGACTTGAGCGATGAGTGTTGGGGCACACTTACACTCTCTTATTTATTGAATAAATAAAACATCAGTTTAAACAAACAAAGCATTATTTTTGATATACCAAGCATGGTCATAAAATAAAAGGAAATAGAAATTTCTTTTACCATAATTAAGATGGCAAATTGTATACATGGGATGAATAGCTAGCATATAAAAAAAAAAAAAACAACATTGATTTGGGATTTTTTTTTTTTTTGGAGGGATTTTCCACGTAGGGCGCGTGCGCTCGCCAGCCAGTTTCACTGTAGGGCGCGTGCGCTCGCCAGACAGACAGAGAGAGACATAGAGACAGAAAGCGAGAAATCACCCCCCAGGGGGGATGGTCACGCCGCAATACCTTCTCCTCCATTCTCCTCTCGGGATCTTGGGCACGCACGCACACGCGCCCAGCGTGAGTTTTAAGCCACCGGGTCCAGGACGCGAACCACGGTCGACTACGTGGGAGTCCAGCGACATAGCCATTATGCTAACTGCTGGTTCCCTGATTTGGGATTTTTAATAACCTTGATAAAACAGTCTGCTTAAAACAAAAATAAAATAAAACAAAGAAAAATATAACGTTAATGTAATCACGGTATTGGGCCCAGATTTATAGCTATAGTGTTCGAAGGAGTCAGATCCCACAGGCCAAATGCCATTGGAATCCTAGCCTAGGCAACGTGAAAAACACAGTGGGCTTGTGCATGCATGCCCCAAATCCTGACAGGATGAAAAAATGGAGGAGAAGGATTATAACATGAACACACCCTTGTGCGGGGGTGCTTTCTCCCTCTCCTTCTTTCTTTGTCACTCTCTGGCGAGTGCACATGCCTTTTTACAAGTATTAAAAACAAAACAAAACAAAACACAGTATTGTATTTAAAAGACCCTCAGGACACTTCGGATGATAAGCAAGTACCGTATCTATACCACTGCCTTAAAATGGTAGTGGCTTCCATGAACACTATGTTAAGGATGCGAGGCTGTGTCAAGGGTCCAGAGGCAGCGCTGAGGCCACTTGCTAGAGGTATCTATGAGTGGGCGAATGCTAGCAAATGACTTCTCATCCTTGCCCTAACTATACGTGCTGTCTAGATAATCTGATACGAAAACCAAACCAAAACACAAATATTTCAATCTCACCAGTTTTAGAAATTCTGCATCTGTTTTCCAGCAAGTGACTTCCTATTACTAAATTGTCATATAAATACTATAAGAATCTTTTTTAAGTATGTTTTCCCTGATTTCAAAAATTACACAAGTTTATTATGGTATATTCAATAACAGCTCTAAATAGTGCTATTCAAAATACCCACAGATGGGGGGACCAGCAGTTAGCGTAAGAGCTATGTCGATGGACTCCCACATAGTCGACCGCGGTTCGTGTCCCAGACCCAGTGGCTTAAAACTCACGCCGGGTGGGTGTGCATGCGTGCCCAAGATCCCAAGAGGAGAATGGAGGAGAAGGGATTGCGGCATGGCCAACCCCCTGGGAGGTGATTTCTCACTTTCTGTCTGTCTCTCTGTGTCTGTCTGGCAAGTGCATGCTCCCTATAGCAGAAAAAAAATAAATAAATAAAAACAAAAACAAAAAAACCACAGATGGACACTGGCCCCAGTACCAAGATTATCTTCTTCCCACCCATGAAAAGTGCAGAAATTGAGGTTGTTCAGGAATTTTATAGCAATTAGATATTGTCATGAAATGTCCACTGGATTTTACAAAAGATACAGGTCCAAAAAGGATTGGAAATTAAAAAAAAAGTGTTCTTTACCATAAGTAAGTTGAAAATCATAGATACTTGAGAAACTAAAAGAAAAATTTCTCCTCTACTCTTGCTCTGGGCATTTGATCAGGGTTTCTTGATCTAAGCATGACTGACGGTTGGACCCTTCATGGTAGGGTCTTTTCCTGTGGACTGCAGAACATTCGGCAGCCCTGGCTTCTATGTCATACTGTCAAAAGTGTGCCCTTTTTCTTATCGCTTCAACAAAAAACATTGAACTATAAAAGAATCCTGTATTTATCAAAGATAGTTATAGATGAGGGAGATATCTTCCCATGATAGTCCACACATTCCACAGGGTGAGAAACATGTCACCCACGGGATGATACATTCCACTAGTCACAGTTCCAAACACTTGAGCTGTTTGCTTTCTTTCTTAATGGCTTCCTTCCATTTTTACAGGATCAGCCTTTCTCCGGGCTTAATCTTCTAAAATATCTTTTCTCTTTTACAACTGGTTTTTTGTTTATTTATTTTTTATGTATTTATTTTTTTAATTTGCCAGAGGGCATGCATGCAGACAGAGAGAAATAGAGAGGGAGAAAGGACCCCCAAACGGGGCACAGTTGTGTCACAATCCTTTTTTGTCCATTTCTCCAACTTTAAAGGATTCTAGGCACGTACGCACATGTACCTGGTGTGCTTTTCAAGGTACAAGGGCCGGAATTAGAACCGCAGTTAGCCCTTTGGGATCTGGTTCCCCTAGCCACTAGGTCATCCCCTCTTTTTTATAGCTGTTTAAAAATTCCTATGAAAACAATAGCTGCTTTGATATGGGCTGTTATTTTGATACATGTTGCTTCAATGTAACTGTTGTTATAGTTTAGACTTCCCTCTTTAGTGTCTAGTGAGCAATTCTCTATTTTTTTTTTTTCATCTCTGGACCTCTTTATCTGCTTTTTAAATGACAAGCACATTGGGAGGCTAACCCCACAGTGCAGCAGTTAAGTGCAGCACAGAGGAAGCTGGATCCCATATGTCTGACTCGGGTTTGAGTCCTGGCCCTGGAGGCTTGAAAAAGATGTCCACATATTCAGGATCCTTATAGGATGGACAACTGGAGGAAGGGGACTGTGGCATGACTGACCCCATTAGGAGGTGTTTGCTCTGTCCCTCATGTGCCCTCTGGCATTAAGTTAAAAAACAGGAATAATAATTTAAAAAAAAAAAAGGCATGTTGTAAGCCCTGTCTAGTAATGTCAGTCATGGCTAGTTCTCCAAATCCTACTGTCTAATTAAAGCAGACCAGCTACAGACTCAAGCATAGCCTGGTGCCAAGTCTACCCTGAGGCTCTCAAAGATAGAGAATGTGGCTGTAGGGCCACCAGACCTCAAATCCATCGGATTCCATTTCCTTTGCTTAGAAAAGTGCCAAACACTTTCTTAAACTCTTAACTGCTCAGCATCATCCCAGTTCTGTCCCTGAATTCATCACCACTCATCCGACAGTGTCTGAAGTACATTTCTGCCTGATTTGACATTAACTTAATTTTCTCTGTAGACTTTTTGCCATTATTTATTTAATTATTTTCGATTTCTTCTGTCCATTAACTTTTTTTTTTTAACCAAAGGGGCAGAGAGAGAGAAAGAGAGAGACCTTCAATGGAACATGGTCATGTCTCAATCCCTTCTTTATCCTGTTGGGATTTGGGGCCTGCACACACAATGTCCAGAGTGTTTTTCAAACTGCCAGGGTCAGTATTCAAACTACAGTTGGCCATGTGAGATCCAGCTCCCTCAACCTCTGAACCTTGGGGTTGGTCCTGCATGAACTATTTCTGCAATGTTCTGTGTGTGCATACACACACATGCACACACATGCACATACATGCACACACACACACACACACACAATTTGCTAGAGGCACATCCACTTGCTTGAGACAGAAACAGACAGAAAGGGAAAAAGCTAAAGCACCTCTGAATGGGAATGATCATGTGGCAATCCTTTCTCCTCGATCTCTCCTCTTCTAGAATTTTGGGTAGACAAACATGTATGTCTGATGTGTTTTTCAAGCAGTTGGGTCTGGCACTTGAAACACACAGTCAGTCATATGGAATCCAGCCTCTTTGACCACCATGGCACTGGCTGGCCCACAAGTTGTCACATTTATCTTGCTTGTTTGCAGTTATATGGGGCCTTTGCTTGGGTGATTTATAAGATAGTGTAAGAGTAGGGATTATTATAAACAACATCTCAAAAACAAACAAACAAACTTAAATGCTCACCTCTACTCCAGAATCTCAGAAAGCCTGAGAATTAAATCACTGTATCATTGAATGCTTAATCCCAAGAAGGGCTAAAAAGGGTTACATAAATTAAAACTGAGTACATGATTGCATTCTATAATCTTGTATTTTTATTACCAAGCATAAGAGTTGGTTTGTAAGTCATTTCTGAAAATCTGTTATTCTGAGATACACCTACATTTAAAAAACATCTATCTGTGTTAAGAAC